ACTGAGCAGTGTTGGTGACAATGAATTGTGAGCCACAAGTTGCGCTTTGTGGGTCTCAATTGTTGGGTTAGTACATTTTGGCCACATCACGCGAACAGTCGTGCAGCTACGCTTCGTTACGAAAGCTTCAAGCGCTGTGGTAGCGGTAAAACTGGATTTGATTTTCTAAAAAATTGTGCCATAGCGAAAGAAAGACGAAACTAAACACCGACTAAACGAACCAGCCAAACAGCTAATGAACTAACATTAGCATAAAATTCCATTTAGATTGGTCAAGAATTTAAGGCGAAAGTTGGAGGTTTGAGTGATAGCTGCAATGCAGTAATTAAAGTGGTAGCAGATACAGGCGAATTTTTTATTATAACTACATATTTGATGTAGTTTACTAGTGTACGGGAATGCGTACAACATCAACAAAGTGCAATTCTAATCCCTGCTCCCTTAAGTTACATTACGGGAATATAAATAAGAATATTAGACCCACTATTAGCGATCATTTTACGCCACTCCTCGCATATACTTCACTCAGCTAGCCTTAACACAATATAACTGAAAAAATGTTACGTTCCTTCCGTTCTTTTTACGGCAAAATAATAATTTTTGCGCTGGTGGCTCTCTGCTTTATACTTTACATTAAAGTGCTGCAGGTGGAGGACACGTTAAGCGCAACACAGCAGCAAAATGCAAAATTCAAAGACAACCCCGAGGAAAACGATGTACTACCCAAAGATGATCAGGCTGACCGCGGAGTACATATCAATCCACGACATCGAGTACTTGAGCGTCAGGAAGATAATGAAATTCTAAAAAAACCAAAACAAACCTCGCGTCACAGTGAACCACCATATGAGCTAAGTATACGTTTGGATTTGGAAAAGCAAAATTCGGCGTTAGGTGCGCTTGGCACGGCAGCGCACTTGAGCGGTGAAGCAGCAAGACGTGGCGAGGAGATTTACAAAAAGATATCGCTGAATGAAGAACTCAGCGAACGGTTGCCTTATAATCGAACTTTGGCTGACTCGCGGCATCCTGCATGTTTGAAACATACTTTTGATGTGCCAACTTTACCTAGCACTAGTGTTATTATAATTTTCTTCAATGAACCATACTCTGTATTGGTACGTACGGTGCACAGTACTTTGAATACCTGCAACGAAAAAGTGCTCAAGGAAATAATTTTGGTCGATGATGGTAGCACGAATGAAGAACTGCATGGCAAGTTGGATTATTATATCAGCTCGAGAATACCAAATGGAAAGGTACAAGTGCTGCGATTGAAGAATCGGTAAGTCGAAGACTTGTGTGATATTATCATGAAAACTTATATTTTGATATAGGAGCAAGATAAATTTAAAATTAGGTTTAGGTATTCGTTTTTCTTTCCTCGTTTATATTCAACGAAAGGCAACTTCGCTTAAGTCTAAACGATGCACCGAAAATCCGATAAGGCCAAAAATTAGACGAAATACTTGAATCAAGATCGACTCCTTCTGATTCGCATGGAGACATGCTTTGCTTTAATTACGCAAAATGTTGCTGTAAAATTTTTAAAAAGGGACTTAGCAACTTTTGACTCTACATATATCCATGTTTCTTAAATCTACCGAACTTAAAAGGTTTGATGGTTAAGAAATAAATTCCGAAAAGCAATGACCACATATTTCATTTGGAAATGGAGTGCAATGTATGTATGCTTATATAGACATATAAATCACGAAAACTATATTTTCCTTCATTCATTAGGTCAAGCTACTCATAAACTCTACTAAAAATTGCTCTTTGCTCTATACGACAGAGTAATAAACGATGCTCAAAAGCAAAAAACGATTACATGGTTATTTGCGCAACGAATATCCAAAAATGATTGCAAAAATCTCATTGAGGCTGCAACAATATTGATGCGCAACTTGCTTCGCTTGCACTTTTTTCTATTCGAACTTTGGCAACTAAAAAATTCATGGTTTACAACTCATAAATTATTCGGCATCTTCGCTAGCTCAATAGATTGCATCTTGAAAGGTCAATAAGCCTGTACATATAAAAACATAGTTTGGCCTAAATGCCATTTGTCAATTCTCAGAGCGCTGAAGACTTTGTGCTTTAAACTTGCTCTACAGCTGAGCATCGATATACATACGTATCTACATATATACCTACAGACAAACATACATCGACATCGTTGCTGTATTCTTCACTCATCATGCTGTATTTAAACACATCAAATAGTAATCATTTTCACTATTCGAACCTAAATTCGATTAACGTGCGATGTGCCAAACTTCTTACCATACGTTTGATTCGCTCTTCATGCTTTACTAGTCCAAGCAACTTTTCTATTTGCATATATCTATACTTGCCGATACCGGTGTAAATGAATGTGCATAGTTTAGTGTGGCTTGTAGCTGGCGGTTGCTTAACATCTTTTTTTCCATTTGGTGTGTCTGCTTTTAATTTGAATACTTGATGCTGCGGAGGCTGAATCCAGCCTCTGGGTGTTGTATCATTTGTTTTGCTTTGTAAACGACATTGCACGCAACGGCGAGCACTTTACACACTTATGCATATTCATATACATACTACAAATACGTATGTAGGAGAGCAGGAAATCTTATTCGCGTATATAGTTATTTTTATATTTTTTAGATCATATTTAGTATTTTATTACCAATAATTATAATACTTGCAGTAAAAATAAACTGCATATGTACAAACGTACACACATATAATGCAGGAAAAAAAATGATATGTGCATATGTAGTAGTTGTAGTTGATCTAGCAAGTTCAGCTGCCCACTTCTGAACGGTTGGTTATCTTAGCTGGACCACCTCCGCGTTATTTCAATAAGTTATTTGATATTTTATTTGCAATAATTAGTAACTAAATCTCTTTCTATCTCCACCCTCTTTTAGCCTTGGTTTGATACGCGCCCGTTTGGCTGGTGCGCGCATTGCTACCGGTGATGTGTTAATCTTCCTGGACGCGCATTGTGAAGCGAATATTGGCTGGTGTGAGCCACTTTTGCAGCGTATCAAAGAGTCACGCACCAGTGTGCTGGTGCCGATTATTGATGTAATCGATTCAAAAGATTTTCAATACAGCACGAACGGCTATAAGTCGTTTCAGGTTGGCGGTTTTGAATGGTCCGGTCATTTTGATTGGATTGAGGTGTCAGACCGTGAGAAGAAGCGTCAATTACGTGACTGTAATCAACCGCGTCAAATATGTCCTGCATACAGTCCGACTATGGCCGGAGGTTTATTCGCCATTGATCGGCGTTACTTTTGGGAGAGTGGCAGTTATGATGAACAGGTGAGTATTTGGGAGAGAAGAATTAGACCATTGGGGATCTCCCAATTAAATCATATAATTAAGTAATATGTCATTCAACAGTTGAATATCGTTTGAAAGGTCGGATTGGGTTAGTTTTGATAATTATTCTTCGATAAGAAAAGGTTCAGTTGTTTCTATTTTTATAAACAACATTTTATTTAATTGAAAAAGGAACTGCTTCGAATTTTGTAGGCTTTTTGAAAACCTTGAATTAAATTCTCTAACACTAAAATTTTTCATGTTCGCTGGCCAGTAATTGTTATTTAAACATTACTAAATATAAACTAGCGATATGAATTGACGATATACATATGTAAATTTACGATATATACATTTACATTTAGCAAAAATGCGATTTTCAAGCTGTTGTTATTGTAACAGCTTAAGAATTCTTCATGGAGCTCTTGGGGGAATGACTCCAGTTACGTAGATTCGACTGTCGTTGTTTTTGTACTAAATGTTTTCTACTTTCCTTGATTGCAGATGGATGGCTGGGGTGGCGAAAATCTGGAAATGTCCTTTAGAATTTGGCAATGCGGTGGCACCATTGAAACGATACCCTGTTCGCGAGTGGGTCACGTTTTTCGAGACTTTCATCCATACCAGTAAGTACAAATGAATTAACGGTAATATAAATGGGCGAGTGTATGGAGGTGTCACTTAGAAAGCTTCAGGTTTGTTGCCAGGGCCACGTGAAATATAAATTATACTAAAAGCCTAACTTGTTTATTAATCAGTACACAAATTCTCTAAAAAGTTTTTTGAATGCTGCTAGAGTGATAGTTTTTGATCTGGATCATTCCGGTTGCGTAGAACGGACTTCGTGGTAACGTCTGAATTATCTAAACGTACCAGAACTTTGAACTAGAAATAGTGGGAACTGACAGAGATCTATCTAAGGCTAAAAGCACTATGGCTGCTTTTAGCTATGCATGCATTAAAGTTCGTCACACGTGATAAACAGGGTGTCCGAATAGAACTAGTTCGTCCCAAGTACTTTTTTATTGTATAATGAAACTACTGGGGTCTTCTACATAGAAGTTAAGTTGAGTTCATTTAAGAATACTAAAATTTTTGTATGGGGAATCGACTATAGAATTTATTTAAAATACTGTTTCTTAATGTTTTGTTTACTACTTATTATAAGTCGAAGTGGTTCTGATTTCCGCATGAAGAAGTTCAGCGAAGGTTTTTGCACCCACTTGCATGTTTTTGAAGTTATATATGCTAAAAAAAGGTATTGTTTTCAGGCTTTTTGTTCAGGAGTACAAAGTAATTTGCGAGTGTAAAATGTATCCGTACAATTTTTCCTTTCACTTACATGTGTACATATGTATAACATTTTAATATACATATAATATCATATTCGGTTTAAGTAAATTTATTTCTTGCCGGCAGCCTATATATGTAACAAAAGAGGCCAAGCTTGTATTTAATGTTTAAACAAGTGTATCCATTCTGTTTCAGGGCTCTTCAACTCGATTGCCTTTCTTTATTCCAATAATTACGACATACATACATATATATATTCACTTGTGTTTATTCCCAGTAGAACTTGGGAGCATCGTACGATTGCTCGGTGAGTACTCCCTTGGGAGTATACGAATACTCCCCATTGCTCCCTATGCTTCTGTGTATAAGCATGTAATTTTGTATACTCCCTTTAACATTGGATGTCCTAGGAGGGGGAGTAACCCCTTTTACCTCCTAAACGAGCAATCGGGGAGCACACACAGAATTATCATCCCACAAACCTCCTAATAAAGCAATACGGGAGTACTCCCATAGTTACCTCCCAGAAACCTCCCAAAAAGACAACAAGGGAGTGCACATAGAAAACATCCCATATTCCTCCCGAACGAGCAATAAAGGAGCGCTCCCATTAGAGACATCCCGAAAACCTCCTGTAGGAGTAATAAGAGAGCAATGATAACGAATATTTTACATTAGCCAAATGGATTTTGCTATTTATTAAATTTTTTTATTTAACTTTTTAATCACATGCATTTGTGCAATATTACAAGATCTTAAAAATAAAGCATAAATGATACGTCTTACATAATTGCTTAATTTTAGAAATATATTGCAGAGAAATCATATGAAATTAAAACATAATAATAACAAAACGGTAAGATAAGATTTGAATTATATGCACCTATATGCACATATAAGTATGTACTCCTATATGATTTCCTGGGTGTCAAGGATGCTTGCCAGTTCAGGAATCCACCAAGCGGGGAAATTGTGAAGGTGACTTTGCTTATCTGACATCTTTGTCACCCATGCGATGTTTAAAGCCGGGGGTCACACTTAAATGCTGACACTAATTTGCGCAATCTGAAAAGTATTTAAGGGTGCATTTACAAGTAATACAATACATACTTAATATATTTAAACAAAAATTGAAGTGCATACCAACGGACTTTTATTAAAATCTGTGTGCTATCCAAATTAAATTATTGTGTGCTCCTTATGCTTCTATAAGAAATATTTTCTGTTGTTTTTTTTTGTATGATAAATTTTTTCGAAAACACAAATTTCTTTTGGGCGAGAGGCGTATTGCTCTCCTATCAATCAAAAAGAATACTCTTGGATTTATCGCTTAGGAGACATCACTTTTTGCTCCTAAGCGAGTAATAACGGAGTACAAAACCGACAAATCTCGCTTATTGCTCCCAAATCATGCCTCAGGGAGCATTCTTTAATTGCTCGCTTAGGAGATCTCTCATTAAGCTCCTAAGCGAGCAATACAGGAGTACAAAACCGAGAAATCTCGTTTACTGCTCCCAAATCATGCCTCAGGGAGCAATATTTCGTCGCTCGCTTAGGAGATCTCTTATTTGACTCCTAAACGAGTAATAAAGGAGTACAAAACCGACAAATCTCTCTTATTGCTCAGAAATCAGGTTAAGGGGAGTACTCTTTTATTCCTCACATAGGGAGATCTCCCTTCAAGTTCTAGTGGGTTGTACAAACTTTTTTTTTTTATATTATCATACTTTAGAGCGCTTATTGTTCACTTCATTTTCACTTCCAGATTCCCGAATGATCGCGATACACACGGCATCAACACCGCACGCATGGCGCTCGTCTGGATGGATGAATATGTCAATCTCTTCTTTCTCAATCGGCCCGATTTGAAATTCCACCCCGATATTGGCGATGTGACGCATCGTGTAATGCTACGTAAGAAATTACGTTGCAAAAGTTTCGATTGGTATTTGAAAAATATTTATCCAGAGAAATTTATACCCACCAAAAATGTAATAGCGTATGGTCGCATACGTGCCGTTAGCAAAGACTTGTGTGTAGACGATTTGTCGCAAAATAATGAGAAGCCCTACAATTTGGGTATATTCTGGTGTGCCAAAACAGTGACAAAATCACAATTTTTTACGCTCACCAAGTCACATGTACTACGAAATGAGTTAGGTTGCGCCACAGTGCCGCATAGTGATGGGGATGCGCGTGTCGTGAAGATGGTGACGTGCATGGATAACGATGATTACAATGAGCAATGGGACTATGAAGATGAACATTTGATGCATGTAAACACCGGCTTGTGCTTGGATCATAAGGAATTGCGTAGTTCAGATGAGATACAAGTGACGCGCTGTGATAGTGAGAGCGAAACACAGCGCTGGACCATACAGCATGGTAAATTGCTGTGAAAGCGGCAGCGAGTGTCAGCAGAGTAGGTGGAGAGAAGTCAAAAGTTTTTATTATGTATTACTTTAAAACTAAAATCAAAGCCATTGTGTAAATATTGCAAACAAAACATACAGATGCATATGCACAAATCTACTTATATATTATACATATGCTTACATATATATGTACATATATGTATGTACCATACGGAGTGTACAGTTTTTCTGACTACTCCTTGTACCATAGCTAGGGGATTTACTAAATATGTAAATTATTTTGATACGCAAAAATATTGTATGCTAACATTACGAATGTATGTATGACGCGAATTATGTAACGAAAGCGAATATGTGTAATTACGTGAAACTAAGCATTCCTCATTGAGACCCGTTTGCTGTTTGCGCCAGTATAAAAAAAAGTAATTATTTTACATTCATACGTTACAACTAAATTTAAATATGTTGTTAATTACTGAGCCGTGTAGTTAGTTGAAATATATTTAAATGTAATTTGCTTTTTTAATCTTGGCATAAGATTACCGGACGATTTAGCGAGAAGAGTGTTTATATATTTACATATATCTACATACTTACATATGTTTATACCTACGTACATATGTACATATATGGTTTTTTTTTACTGCAAGTCAAATCACATATGTATGTACATGTTTTATTTTATTTTTTGACTTTCTTCATTAAGTTAATCGGCTTTATCTAGAATTCCATGTGAAAAAATATTCCCAAAATTATGAAGTAAAAGCAAAACAAACCTTCAAAATTTGGCTTTGTTTTACTTCAAATTCATGGGAACAATTTCTTCCCATGTGATTCGCGATTAAGCTGGGTATTTGCAAATTAGCACTATGCTAATATGTACATACGTAGTTACTAAACTCGAATAATGACAATAACTCATTTAATTATGACAGCGTAACATATTTATGTATTTTTTTTTTTGTATTTTAGAAACTAGTTGGACGTTATGTGCTTAAAAAATCCTTATCATTGTAAAGTTAGAAATAATTATATACAGACATAATTTGCATTTACCTCCATACTTATACATACATACATATATTTTATAAGTAGCAGTTTATCTGTGGTCACAAGCAATAGCCGCCTAAGTCGACTCAAGAAAGAGTGGAGTTATATATGCTATTGTATTTTTCAACCACTCTTCCATGCGTATATGAAATCCCCATCTCGCCAGCTAGCCTACTTATAAAGTTATAGGCGAAAATATTTTGGTTTCCCCATAAGGCTAACATTACAATCCAAATGTTTAAAACGTTTTTTCTCGAATTAAAGTTTTTCGACTTTGGCGGTTATTGCTTATGACCACAGATACATATAATATTTAAAATTCATATTTTATATTGAGTTGTATCTAACTTCATACTATGAATATAAAATTATTGCATAGAGTATTCGTTTTTATACAGATTTACAGATTTACATATGCACATATCTATGTGAGGCCATGAGAGCTCGTGTAGACATTTTGAAAAAAGTAAAGTAAAGCAGATTATTTTCCATAGTTTTCTTCTGGCATGCGAGCGTAACCCTGAAAGTTACCGGATACGACGGTGGTTTTTTAGACATCACATTATGAGTTTCGAAAATTTGCCATTTGTTAAGCAAAACAACATTGACAGATAATATTCTGCCGAGTGGTTTTGATTTAACAGCCTCTCAAGCAAACATAACTTGGAACGGATTCATTCGGCCTTTAGTCATGAAAATCCACTCTATATGACTCGTCTGCAGAATTTAAACTTGGACGCGTCAGCCTCAGTGAATGTGAATTACGCGAAGGTCGTCTATCAACTGCTGTTGTTGCAAACAGCATCGATTGCTGTGCGAGAAATGATTTTGATGGAACGGCATGTAACATAACGGAAGATAGAGGCATTCTTGCACATTGGCAAAAGTCGAAATGAAAATGATTTTGCATGTAAATTTAGTACTGCAGAAAGTCTGCAGCCGTTGGATGCCACACAATTTAATCGGAGCTAAATAAGAGGCTCCTGAGGACTGGACCAAAGAAATGCTGAAAAAATTCAATCGTGTCTCAATACTCAAACCATCGAATCCTACACAAAATTTATTCAGGAGAAATATACTACTTTGGAGAAAGTCTATAAAACAGCAACCTTTCTGCAAATTCGGAAGGATTGGAAAATCCGATTCTAATTTGAAATGAAAATCGCTGTTGTAAAAGGTAAGACTCCTGGAAGCGATCGAATCGTAATAAAAAATCGTTCTGCGGAAACAAATTACACAGTTATAGACCTTTTCAACTAAATTTTAAATCAAAAACACTACCCACAAAGTTGAAAGCATGCTCTCGTTGTCCCCATACCGAAGGCCCACCAGCGTCTTACAGACGTTTCAGGCTTCAGACCCACCTATCTACTGTCCTGTCTGCGTAAAACATCTCAAGATGCCGTTGAAGCATTCAAAAACCATGTTTATGAGCGTCCCCATTTCAGAGTTGAATACATGTTTCGACAATTAGTGGTTTCTTAGAATGCATAAGTGTATAAACCGTAAAAGCGAATATTTTGAAAAACAATAGTGTTTTTTTTTTGTTCACAAAATGTGTATTTTTTCTCTTTTTTCCGGAAACTTTCAGGGTTACCCTCGTACTTATAATATGCAACAGCAACACATAGCTGCAATAAGTTTCTTAGATTTTACCAAACAATTGTTAAAAACATTGTTGATTCTTTTATGTTATCTCAATTTAATGTTTTTGTAAATAGGCTGCACTGGCCCTCATCGCCTTCTACATATGTATGAATATGCAGCTGCGCCCGTCCTCAAATATATTTTCTTGTAAATTGTTTAATATTGAGAATAAAAGCGTGTTGTTAAAAAAAATTTATTATGTATTCGAAAAGGAGTTCTTATTTTACTTTGGTTGGTTTTTTTTGCAAGAAACGATTTGCAGCACCCCTATTAAATTCTCTTACAGTGTGCATGGATTTTTTTTTTGTCAAGTAAATGTGCGTTTTTTAAAAATGGTAGAATTAATTGGTATTTAAACTCATCAATGAATTCAGTGTTGTTAACTTCGAATTTATACTAAATTGCTTTAATGTGTATATGTATTTTCACTGCTAAAGTGGCTTAACTAAAAAACTTTTATTTATATCAAAATCATATTCCTATGCGAAAATCAATTATATACTATATACTTCTGCACCAAAATTCATATTCATATTTATATGTGTGTATGTACGTGTACTCGTGTGATAATTAAATGATCTGAAATAATGAATAATACAACAACATATTTACATACACATGGGAAATACATATAAATAAATATAAAAATACATTTTTTATTATTAAAAATAAACACAAACCCTAAATTACTAATGGAAAAATCTTTATAGATACATACATATCGTTATCTGAAATGCAAAAAAGACGTAACAACATCGTAAATGAAATGGAAAAAGTCGTGACTAATATGTTAATTTTGTAATTCGATTAAATTCATCGTTTAAATCAAAAAGTGAATTTTGAATTTTTTATTAGTTATGATTTTTTGCATTTCAACGATGATGTTTCTTACGTCTTTCTGCATTTCAGGTGACGATATGCGCCAAAATAAAATACAAACAATTTCGGAAACTAGAAAAAAAGTATATTTTTTATAGAAAAGTACTTAATAGAATACCAAGTTTTGTAAATTCACAAATGCCATAATGAAATAAAATCACACTGCCGGCCACTTGTTTTGTTTTTATTTTTCTTATAAAAAAAATTAGTATATTGAATATACAATTTTCTATAACAAAAAACATATACATATATGCGATCTTCAAACTTTATTTAAAATTTATAATAATTCAACAACTTTTCTCCAAAATTTCCAACGCTTTTTTTTTAATATCTATATAGTTTTGTAGCCCATTAAATTTTAGTATGATTCATAAGGTGCAAGTTTCTAAGAAATCTCGTTGATTTTTGATAATTTTTTATTTATTTTTTGTGGAAGTTGTTCTGAATTTTCTTCCATACAAAGTATGTTTGCCTATTTTTTATATGAAAGAAAATGCGCAACACCCTTGGCAATTTTTTAGAGACTTGAAACTTATACCTTATTGTACTAAAATTTAACAGACTAAATTCTAAGCATTTTTTAAGTGTGAAATTTTGATGAAAATTTTTCGAATCATTATAAATTTTGTATAATGTTTGAAAATCGGATTTACATAGGTTTTGTTAAAAAATATGCTATATTTTTATAAAAATGAATGAGTAATAAATAAACAAAAGGAAAACTGTCAATAATTGGGTTCAAAAGCGGACGTTATTCAAGTGGTCGGCACTGTACATACAACTTGCTTATAAGGAATAACAGCCAAAGTCTAGAAAGGACATTTCGAGAAAACAACTTTTTATATTTGAAATTATTCTAAACGCTTCGACAGACGGCAATGTTGATCCGAATTTAAGGGGCAGTTGATCTCATCAAAATTTTACCCTGACAGACGGCAGTAAAGCGGATTAACATACCGGGAGGTCGTGGGTTTGCGTCCCATTAAATTTTTTAAATTTAATTTTTTAATGTAATTATAGTTGTTGTGGACTTTTTAATAAAATTAAACTTAAATCCCATTACATTTTTTTAATTTAATTTTTTAATGTAATTTTTTAACAAACTTAAACTTAAAAACTTTAAATTTTAATAAACAAAAGAAAATAAAATAAAATAAAAATAAAAATAAAGATTATATAAAAGTTTTTTGGCACTTTCTCGAACCTGGCTTCTAAAAAATTGTAGTACGCAGCTCTCACCACTCGGCTTCCGCGAATGCTAAGCACGCTTGCTTTTTTTTGCCTATTTGGACAATATACAACAGCTGGCCTTTTTGTCCAGTGCTGTCATAGAAAATGCCCAGTTATGATTAGTAAGGTTATGCTAAATTAGGTTAGGTTGTATGAGTGCCTATAATACTTGGTCTAGCAAATTAAAACTGTTCCTTGTCACACTATTTCATGATTGGTAGACGAGTTAAATACGACCGATCCCTGATATTTTAAGAGGAGTGAAAAAGAAATGCGACCAAATATGTTTAGGCGTAAAGCTCGGGTTAGCAGGTTTGCAACCCAAAGTCAAATTTATTTTAATTGCACATGCACCCATACATATGTATATGAAATATTACATGTACACTATGAGTGTCGAACGGAAGAGGTGTAAAAAATCATTGTTCCGAATTTTTTTTTTCAAAGGGTTGCAAACTGTTTAAAAAATCTAAAATGAATGAAATATTGCCAACGGGGTATTTATCGTATGTTTTATATTGATACATATGTACTTAAGTAAACTAAAACTAAAAAAAAAATTAACTAAACTTTGTCCTAAATCGACTTTGGTCATTATTCCTTTTCACCGCAGATATATGTGTGTAGTGTTTGCATAACTATGTGCACTTATACAGCAAGCAAATATCCATACGAAATTGGCTGACAAGGGAAATTCGCCTAAATAAATACTTTTTGTACGTATTTGTAAGTATGTATGTTCCTAAATTAACCTTTATATAACGAGTACTACATATTAAAATATAATGGATATTTTTCG